ATGGGAACCCAGGTGGGCATTTTTCATGAAAAATACAATCTTGCGGTTTCAAGTGGAATATGTGTGTTGAGACGGCTTTGATTTACTTTCTTATTGTTGGACTTACTTTATTCCCACCCGTTTAGTGGAATTATTTAGGCATATTTGGGTGTTACGAACAAGAAAAAATACACCGAAAAACGTGGCCCAAACTGTAATTAACATGGTGGAAAAATATTGCATGGGTTCACATTATTTCGCGGCAAAAACAAGGCTAAAAAGTTCAAAAATTTCAATTAGAGCCAACAATTTTGACCTTACAAGAGTTACATTAGGTATGTACATTTTAGGCGTTACATTACATTTGGAAACAATTAAATAGTCAAATGCACCTAAACAGTTTCCAACACCTCAAAAACAATCTGAACATTTGGGAATGGCAATTTCCTTTTTTCAGGTGTAGTTTGCTTTCACCTCATTTCACGAAAGAATTCGCGCGTGGAGGCAATATCGCAAAAATGGATTTCATATTTGAACAAGTCGATTAAAACCTATATATTCATTTTCTGATAAAACCTGGGGCCCATTTGAACGCTCAGATTCCACGACTTATCGATTAATGGATACGTTAGGCTTTGACATCGATCGTTTCATTTTACAAAAACCAAATCCAGCTACTCAAAATAAAAATTCAGGACCATCGATCATCACCTGTGCTCAAAACACTTTCGAGGCTGTCCCCGAGTTAGGAAGCACAATTTATAAAAGAAAAAATCGTTAAATTTTCTCGAAACGAACCCGTTTTATTATCCAATTTGGTTTATTAATCCACTTCGCCACATGCAGAGGCCGCGTCGATCGTTTTAGGCCGAAAATTGGTCATTTTTACATTTAAATGAGCCGATCCTCACTGCTGACCCCCCTCTCTCCCCTTACTCTTCTCTTCTTGGTAGCTAAGCGTGGTTGTCAAATGTAACATTAATTTCGCTCATATTTTGTAAAATTATCCGAAGGAATCACTTCATTTCTTGCAAAAACCAGGGAAAGAATAACTATAATATTTAAAACTTTGATATCATTTTTTTTAAATTTCCTATGGTAGCAACGACTATTAAAACACTTTTAAACACCGGAAAAAAACACATTGGATCTAGAGTCCAGACTCTTGAAAACATTGACAAGAAAAAGGACTCTTGATTCAATCGGATTTTTGCTTGAATCAAAACGAAATCCGCTTAAATTAAGAAGCTTGGTTCTTGATTTAAGCCAGATTCTGATTGAATCAAGAGTACTTTTTCTTGTCGATGTTTTTAAGAGTCTGGACTCTAGATTCAATGTGTTTTTTTTCCAGTGAAGGACATGCAAGATTTGAAAGACACATCCCTAAGCGGATGTTAAAATTGATGTTTCAGGAAACCCATGTGGACAATTGTTTTGAACATAACTTAAGAGAGATAAAACAACAGGAGGAAAATTAAGTGTTTCAACGGATAACATATCGAGGGAAACGTTGGAAACATACTTAAAAAGTAAATTTTCCCCAATATTTTTTTACGTAAATTTTATCAGGCGATTTCTTGGACTTATATTGTCGTTCTTTTATCACACACGGAAAAAATCAACACACACATGAAAGCCATTTTCACAGCGCTCTCTGGCTCTCTGCAACACCTAATCGCCACAGTAGCCTGTCTACCCACAGGTCCTCAGGAAGTTAACACTCCCTCATTTCATTTAAAACCTCCTAAATCAATCAAAAAATCGATAAAGATGCAAAATAATTAGAAAAAAGTGACGTCAGGCGAATTATGTCGTAAGCTTGAAGTGTGTAAGCTTATTTTGTGTGGCATCTATTTAAAACATGTTGAACGATTAAAAAATCGAGCCAAAAACCAAAAATAAAAAAGTATTATTTCAAACTACATGTACGCAGATGAGAAGCACTGGGAAAAAAACGCATTGGGTCTAGAGTCCAGACTCTAGAAAACATTGACAAGAAAAAATACTCCTGATTCAATCAGATTTTTGCTTAAATCAAAAGGAAATCCAAGATGCCGCGATCATTCTAACGCAAGTTCGAATAATCACGCCAAACACGGTGCGGTCGGCGTCGAACTCTTATCAGCGCCTGCAAGACCGCAAGAATACTTCATGCATTGCGCCATACAGTGCGGTCGGCGTCAAGCGCATGTCAGCGCCTACAAGACCGCTTGAATACTTCTCGCATTGCACCAAACGCAATGCGAGAGTTTGCTTTAAATATTCGACTACGGTACGGGTAGAGGCACACGACCGCTAACTGGAATGAAGGCGCATCACACTATGAAGATATGACTCGACATTCACTGGCTTGCACGTCGCTAAAATCACTGCAGAACGCGGTCTGCGCGTCATTTCTTTTGACAGTCCCTGCCCGGTTTTTCCCCAATTAAAGGGTACACTGGAAAAAAAACACATTGGATCTAGAGTCCAGACTCTTGAAAACATTGACAAGAAAAAACACTCTTGATTCAATCAGATTTTTGCTTAAATGAAAAGGAAACCCGGTCAAATTAAGCATCTTGGTTCTTGATTTAAGCAAAAATCCGATTGAATCAAGAGTATTTTTTCCTGTCGATGTTTTTAAGAATCTGGACTCAAGATCCAATGTGTTTTTTTTCCAGTGAATAATATAAAACTATTACAAAATCCCTATGCACTTGTAGTTTGAAATGTTTTTTTTATTTTTTATTTTTGGCTTGTAGCTCGATTTTTTAATCATTGAATATGTTCCAAACAGCTTAGCCAGCCAAATTTGGCAATAAAATGAATCTAATTAAATAGGTGTACTTCAAGTTTGTGATCAACTTCCATTACTTTGCTGAGTACAGATTAGCGAGGAAAACTGTAGGAAAAAAAGAAAAAAAAAAGTGTTTCCCAGAGACCCGGCAGCCTCACGCCCCCGTTCGCAAGAAAATTAATGACACCAAGAAAATGAACACAGCTATATAAAGCGAGATAGACAACATTGACATGTCTCGAGAGAGCAAGTTCCAGCCTCAACCCGAGTACGCGCTTGCCGCATTGTGCTGGAAAAGCGGAGATTTTCCGTTAATCTTGAGCGTTATTTTCGATTTTTGCCGCCGTGCGGCAACATCGCCGATGTCTTTAGGACAGCACATCGGTACATCTTTCCTCCGAACTTGTTTACGTCCCGTGTACCGCCTCGTTGTCACAACGTTGCCGTCAGTGGCGTAGCGTGAATTGCGATGTATCGATTGTTAGCCCATTTAAACCTATGGTAAAGAATCGATTATTAAGGTGTTCGTTGCGAACTTCCTGTTTGTCGATCCTTTTCCATAGGTTTAAACTGCATGATAATCGATATATCGCAAAGCACGCCACGCCACTGTCCTCCAACGTCCAACGTTGGCACGAATCGATATCATTTGAACTTTGTACCAATATTTTTGGAGGATGAAGGATTGAGGGTAATTTTTAAAGTCTATTAAGATTCTTTGGAGTGATGTAAATGCAAGCTCCCCTACAGTAATGACGGCGACATCAGCGAATGCAGCAGGTTGGCAACATTGCTTTCCCCCGTCCATTTAAATCAATGAAAATAAATCGAATTTTGAAGGAAATAAGTGCTTCAATAATCGACTTTTTACACATGTTTAGATGGAGAAGAGCCAGTGTGACCAACCTGCTGGATTCGCTCCTGAGCGACAAATCGAAAAAAAACTAACTGTCTGGAGCCTTACATCCTGCTTTAGAACAGCAGAAAAAAAAAAATCTCAATAACAACGATCGGTAAGACGCACTGTTTAGAAAAATTAAATATACTATTAAAAATCATGTTCCAAAAACGAAGTATTTAGAATTTTTTGGAGCTCTTTTATCGTCACTTCAATTTTTCACACTAATATCAAAAAAAAATTGGCAGAAAAGGATATCATTTGAATCAAGACAGCAGTGAGTTTAAGTCTCTCGCGGAATTATGAGGGCTTATACTGCCGTTTTCTTTCATATGACGTTAATTTTTCCGTACTCGTCGCTTTCTCATACCTCTCGCTTTTTACGAATAGGAGGAACTTTGCTATTTCAGCCGAATCAATTCGTTTAAATTAGATTGGTAAAATTTCAAATGGAACCAGATTTCGAAATTTGGACCTTTCTGCTTTCTTCAGTAACGCGGCAGAACACGCCGGTAGTTACAGCGGCACACAGTGAATCTGGATCGAGTCAATTAGAGAGGTCGGACACGAAATTTTTAACTAATACTGTAAATTTTGATGTTTATTTCGTCACATTTTAAACTTTGAGGGATATCACCGGCAGCAAATTTCACGAGAAAACCAATGGAACCACTTTTAGAACGTCAAAGTTTTGTACAAACGGAGATATAAGCTCTTAAACTTTCCAGATTTTGGTCGACTTTTCCTATGGATCGTATTCGATTATGGTTCGATCTATCGTTTGGTTCAACACAATAGAACTTGACCTCATACCAAAATTCCAAGATATTTGTCAGAGAAGTTGAAAATGAGAGATTTCGTAGCAATTTTACCTCTTGGCCAATTGGACTACATTTTACAATTTAGAACTATAAATTTCAGCCAGGTTTAAAAACGACGTATGTGCCATTAGTTTTCCTATGCACATAAGTGTTTTTCTAGAAGAGCCAGAATTTATAGTTGCGAATTGCAAAATGCAGTCCAATTAGTACTCATACGAATTAAAAATCCATCACAAAAAACCCGTTCCGTCAGATTACTCAATTGACTTTTGACGAGGCTATATTTATGTTTTGAACCAATCGATATCGATACAATCTCTCTCGTTTGATGTATCGACACGATCTATTAACTCGACCCACTGTGCGGCAACGCAGAAAAAGTTGTAAAAACGCAGTCGAGGACTGATGAACGTGAAGCGCGCCTTGCGGACACAGACCTAACTACACGCAATGCTCCGGTACGACCAGCAGCGTCTGGACCAAGTCTGGACTTCCACCCGGCTCGACTCCTCAGTCACTTACTCTCTGTGATCGAGACTGGTGTCGTTTCCAGTTCTGTGCCGCGCTGAAATCCCGAATTATTTACGTGCCGGGCATGTGTGCAATGTTTACAAAACCGCGTGCTTACAAAACTTGAATTTGGATTACGCTTTGGATTACCTTACGGACACAGGCCTCGATGAATATGCTCAGGTATGATCGAGATGCCATTTTTTCATTGTGGATATTCTAGGATTTAGGTAAAATGTTTTCCCCGGGATTTTTTTTTATTTTTTTCATTATTTTTTTTTATTTTTTTCATTATTTTTTTTTATTTTTTTATCAGTATAATGCAGGTTAAGTATATAAAATGAATTGATAAGACCTACGTGTTGGTCTTTTTACAATTATTCTTAACCTAATCTTAGAATTCTACAAACACATCCCACTAGAAAATGAAAAATTAAGTATTTCCTGTTGCAATACATTGTCTTTTTCGACAAGAACAAAAATAAGAGTCCAGAAATACAAAGTATTTTTCTTTAAAGAAAAAATCCCCTTCCTTAGAGATATAATATCATCTTTTGAAAGTCGAGTATTCTCTTCAGAGGTAAACACAATTACCGAGTTTATCAGAAAGGAACCAACCCACATTTTCGAAATAATTGAGTTAAGAACTTTTCTGAGTTCCACTAACCGTATATTTACTCCTGCCAAAAACTGAGAGTCGAAAGACAGAAAGTCGGTGAAAAGAGGGGTTAAAGTTTAATTTCTACCTTTCTAGTTTAATTGAGCCTGATGCAGGAATAAAACTTCAAACCTCTTTTTCTCAGTTTCAACTTAATGTGGGTTGATTCCTTTCTGATGAACTCGGTCCAATTTTTCGTTCAAAAATAAAAGAAACCCTTTCATTATCTCCTTCGATTTTTTCGGAGTAAAAAGTATTGTCCTTCCGAAATGAAAAATTTATGCAGAACTGAGGAAAATCTTAGGTGAAGCCATACATTCAGTGACAGGTTTGATAAGATCGAGGAATTAGCCATTCATTTTTTGAGTTAAAACAGTCTCAAGGTATAGTTCATAAAAAGTTAACACTACAGTTTATTACTTCGCTCGGCTATTAAAATTTAGAGTGATTTGCGTAAAGCTCCTAAATAATTTTTCAAAATTGAACGTGTTTTTCCGAGAAGCACGCAGTGATGACGTTTGATTCTCTCATCCGTTAGATCCCAAGGCGTATTGTGGATAGTATACCTAATCGTGAAGAAATTTATTATTATATAGTTAAAATATCCCTTGTGTGTAGATTTAAATGTTACAGCTTTCTCAGCCCTGATTTTATCCATGTAAGTATCTAGAGAGGGGTGAGAAAAACTACAGAAGTCACTGACTCTATTTACTTTATAGTTCCTCCCCAAAATTAGTGATTTTTAAAAGAAGTGGTTTAAAAAACGAAGAATCTGTGCTGAAAGTTTTGAAAAATATTTTTATTCATTTTTCATGAGAAAAATTAGTTTATTGTGGACAGAATCTGGCCCTCCAGCTGGCTTCTCAGTCACTTACTCACTGGCTAATGTCTCACATATGGGTTAAATTAAGAAAGATTGAAATTTTAGAATTTTTTTCAGTTTTATTCTACGTGAAATCTTGATGAGAAAATCTTTAGTGAGATGGTTGATTTTAAGCCCTGTTGAGTAGTGCATGATGGTCACGAAATCAGCTGACGGTTCGAAATCGAAACTTTTGTTACCCTAATTGATATCCCTAAATGCAACATAACAGGAGAGCGGGCAAAAACACGCTCGCTCTGGTCAAAATAGTGGTATCAAGATGTCACACCTAAGGGCTACCTTTGTTACAATATGTTTATTTCTGCTCTGTGTGTTAACTTTTTTGTCTCTTGAATACCACTATTCCTGCTCCAGGGAGCTCTCTTGCCTACCTTATCAAATGAGGGCGAATCCAAATAAAAAAATGCGACGGGTCCAATAGCCTGGAATTAGAGGGCTCTCATCGGTCTAGAAGCAGGCTTTCTCGCACTTAAATACAATAAACTGACTAAAATCGAGCACTCTCAAGAGTAGTTTAAAAGTAGGAAGAAATTTCGTGTCGCGGGCGATTCGATTAAAAGCTCATACAAAACAGAAACACCCACTATAATATCAGAATCAAAGTTCCTTTTCATTTCGCATGCAATTAGTTAGTTGTGTGAGTTGGCGCAGGTAAAATATAGAGCTGCCTGTGGTGAAAAATGGCTTAAAAATCACAATGAGCTCACCTGGCAAGTCTAAAATTCATTCCGAATTTCTGTCCACTGCTTGTGCACTTTGTACACTTGCACAAGTACACTGCTACGGCAAAGACAGCGACAGTCAAAGTATAAAAGCACGTATCTTCGTTTGAGATTTTCCTTTTTTCCTACAAAAACCGCTCGACGTAATTTCTTGAAAACGTCCTTCATTTTCCATCTCTATCAGTAAAATACTCTGCACAAATGTAAAGCTACCAGGACGACTTGTTTCTCTTCAAAGAACAAACTTTAGAGCGAAGATTTTGAAACAACGCATTGAAGAATCGTGGTTTTTGCACTTTAGACATCGATGAGTAATTTGATACAAACAAATCACCTCAGTCGCATAACTTTGCTCGAAACTAAAAAAAGCCGTTGTCAAGTGTTGCAGTTTTGCAGGAGATTGCGATAGGTAATCAGCAGGATGCAACTATTCGTGCCCTACGATTGTGCGTGTTGCATTGCAAAACATTGAAGGCGCGCTGTTCTCAATCGCACTCGCTCGTAGGTGCGAAACTACGCGTCGGCGCCGCCTTGACTTTACGCCCCGTCTAATTACCATAGATCTCTTGATACCACTATTCGTGCTCTACGCTTGTCCTCATTGCATACGCAACATATAGAAGGCGCTTTGAATTCCTTTTTGACAGATGTGCGACTCGGTGGGCTTGCTTAATGGACCACTAGGCAAGGTACAAATTTAAGCATTCTGATATATGTTTCTTAACCAGAATTTCACGTAGAACACGATTCGTGCAACAAAAATTACTGAAAACAACTCCTAACGGAGATATTAACATTTTTATTTCACATTGGTTACGAGGAATTTGAACTGCCCGCTCACAAGAAATTCAAAGCTCTACGCGAGTCAAATCGCACACTACAACGGTTTCAGCAAACTTCTCAGTCGAGCAATGTTCATGTCCCACCATGTGTTGTTCAAACTATAAGAAATTTGCTACAGCTGAGCCAAAGCGTCAAGATTGAGGTTGCCAGATTTTTTTATCGCAGAGACGTTCACGATAACGTTTGGCGCGCGATGTTAATCACGTAGAGCATTGAGTTATCATGAGCGGGTGGTTTGAATTCACGCATCAAGAATCATTAAATATCTTTGGAAGGAGTTGATTTCGGTAATTTTCGTTGTGCGCATCGTGTTTTACGTGAAATTTTGGCGAAGCAACATGTATCAGAATGCTGAAATTCGTACCTTGTCTAGTGGTCCATTGCTATGAGCTCCTTCATACAAATATTCGTACTCGACGACTGTCAGAATTGCATACACGAAATATTGTAGGCGCAGTAGAGACCCTTTCGTTAAAAGTTCAGTTACGTTTGCGACTCGGGACAGTGCAATAGATCACACGCAATTTCCGAGGAAGTTGTGTGTGTCCTTTACCGAGTGTTTTAACTACACACTTACAAGAACACACAATGAGCATACACTTATGTTCTATTGTTTTGAACCAAACGGTACATCGAACCCCTATCGAATACGATCCATCCAATTCCCAAATCGGGAGTCTCACATGGATTGCATTTTGCAAAAAGGAACCAGGAGCATTGCAATGTTGCTGAGATTGTGCAACTTCACACATTGCAATATAACTATTGAAATTCTAAACAAATATGAAATTTCCATGGTAATTTTCGTCCTAAATTTACAGTTTTTAGCGATTATAATAGAAACTGTTCATTTTAATCAAGATTTTCTTCCAAGACAAAAGAAGCTGCACAATCTTAGCAACATTGCAATCCTCCTGGTTCCTTTTTGCAAAATGCAATCCAAGCCACATGACAGAGGTTTCGCGGCGTTGGACAAAACGATTGCATAAATCCGGACGAAATCACGTTAGCATCTTAACGAACGGAGCCTTTTACCCCGAGGTTGGCGGAGACGCGGTCTTCGAGACTCGGTAGTTTCACAAGACCCGTTGGAGACTCGGTTGGGTCGCCGCTCGGGCCATCTGGAGTGGATTTGTGTTATTAGCAGCTCTGGAGTCGGAGTCGCGCTGCCCACGCGATTTTGTAAAGGTTATGCGCGCCGCGCCGCGCGTAGAGCGCGAGTATCCAGCCGCACCTCCGCCTTGTCTTGTCTACTATTTCGCCGCAAACGACCCGCCGCTGTTGCTCTTCGCATCCGAAACACTCTATTTTCCGTTGTAATCTCCAACAGATTCTTGAAATTGATCCGCAAAGTGATAGACAAGAAGACGTAAGGAGCATGGAGCGATCCTATTCTTTGTCTATCGCTTTGTCTGTCAAGTTCAATGGAGATGTTGCATGTGTGAGGAATTTGCGATTTGACCATTGATTCTTATGTAAAAGTTCGCGAGAAACACGATGGTCCCACTGATTTTCTCTGAAATCAACTCCCAAGCTCAAAAAAAGCTCTCAAGTTGACGCCAAAATGGAGGGGATATCCCACCCTACCCTGAGAGTCCACGTCTACATCAAAACAAACTCTCCATGCAAAGATAGGGAGCAAATACAGTAGCAGGGTTGCCACTTTTTTTGGGGACTCCAAAACTGAAAACACGGCATCACTGGGGGTGGGATATCCCCTCCATTTTGGCCTCACTTTGAGAGTTTTTTTTGAGCTTGGGAGTTGATTTCAGAGAAAACCAGTGGCACCATCGTGTTTCTCGCGAACTTTTACCTAAGACTCAGCAGTCAAATCGCAAATCCCTCACACATGCAACATCTCCATAGTCAGTCTCGAAGGACTCTGAAGAATAATGTCTCCGCTGTGTCCAACAGCGGGCTGATTGTTGAAATGGATAGGCAAAGTGATTGACAAAGAAGATATAAGGAGTATGGAGCGATCCAATTGGTTGAAATGAGTGGTTCTTATACATAGACTAAGGGAGAAAATGATGGACCAACTAAAAGATCCCTCATAGGTTGCCGTTAGTTAGTCTAT